GTACCTTTAGAGCTACTTTCGACTAAGCCTAATACTTTTAAGATCCCTATAAATTTCCGTTCTATTACTATAATATCTTTATTTCTAATTTATAAAATAATCCATCCCTTTATTCCTCACTATAAATACTAATTATAAAAGAGGACTAAGGAATACCCGGATATTAAATTTATTCCCCTAGTACGTACCTTTATCGAAACTACTATAATTCTATATAATTACAATACGGCTAAGGGTAATTTTAAAATTTTTATTAATAAGGTAGAAATTGCGGCCGCTATATAGGTTATAACGGACCGCACCGGTACTAAACCTTCTTCTATCGGTAATTTCCCAACTTCGGATTCGGTAATTATAGTTAAATTTCCTATTAAAAAGAGAAAGTTTACCTATACTACTACTAATACCTTAATAGACCTTATTATATTTTATAATAATATTACTATAATTCGTTTTTATATTATAAAAATTAAGGAGATTATCCGCCTTCTTTCTAATAAAATTAATATAATTATTATTAATATTATACGTATTGGCGAAGGAATAATAGCGGTTCGTACTAGGCAGGATAGCCTTAATACCCACCTCTCTATTATAAATACCCTATATTATTCCCATATTAGCTCCTCTATTAACCCCCTTCGTATAATTTACTAATATTGAATAAATTATTTATAATATTTATACTCATATCCTAAATATAGGTCCAATCGACGATTCTTCTTCTATTCGGCCCTATTATAGTATAAAAACAATACTTACTAATATTATTACTAAGGATTTTAATAAGGATAATAATAGAGGTTCCGACTTAAAGGATAACTACCTATTAAATTAATAAAGTAAGGAACGTTTAAAATTATAAAATACCTTAGTAAACTAGTATACTACATCTTCTTTATTATAACCGAATATAGCCTTCTCAAATGCTATCGGCTATTCAATATAATACTAAGTATTGTTGGGAATAAAGGTATTTAAGAAAATAATATTAAAATCGAATTAGTAGTACTTATAATCGTTTATAACTATAATTATTAAAAATAGTCTAATATTAATAGAATATACTACTACTATATAAATCTCTTATACTACCTAATTACCTTATTCGAAATTACTATAAACTACCTATCTAGCTCTAATTTTCTAATTTTTAATATTAATATTATACTTTTCGTTATATACCCATTTTCCAAATAGAACTTCTATATCTATAGATCTAGGAACTAAAATATAAACTCCCCTATCTTCGAATACTTTAATTTACTTCTTTATTACTAATAATTAATATAATTCAAAGTTATTCTACTTACGTACGATTCGATAATTCTTAAGAATAAAATATTAAATTTTACCGGTAGTAATAATTATTATATCGTAATTAACTTTAACGGTAATAAAATAATATATAAGCGTTATACACTTTATTAAATAACCCTCTACTATATTATAATAGGAAAATCTATTTCTAGATATATATTATAATTATTGGATAATAACTATAATTAATATTTAAAAAACAATACATATTTCTTATAAGGGTCAAACGCTATAATATAGTATCTTTGGTTTTAGAGTTGGGTCGGGTCCGAATTTCGAAATTTCTTAAAGTCTTAAAGTCCTACCTTCCTTCCCAACCTTTATTAATAGAAAGAACTAGCCTATTCTTTTAGAAATAATTAATTAATTTAGTAATTAAATAATTAATAAAGTAATTCTTTACTTTTATTCTTATTCGTAACCTTTATTCAATTCCTATTCGTTACTCACTTTTTAAAATTATTCCAATACTCTAAAATTAAATGTCGGCCTTTTTAAAAGGCTACCAAAAGAAGGCTACTAAAGTATAGAAGGTTATACCCTATATTTTTTTAGTTTCTAGGGGCTTAAAAGACAATTAATATTTAGGAAATAATTAATATTTAAAAAATAATTACTATTTTCTTTATACGTATTATCTCCTAGATAAAGCTTATTACAATCTAGGGTTTCTATAGTAGGTACTGTGGAAATTATTAAGTAATATTATTAAATTTTAAATAATATTACTATTATTATTTTTTACTCTTTAAATATTATATTTAAAATCTATTAATTTAGCTATTAAACGACGAGGTCTACCTTTACTTACCTTTATATATAGTACCTAAATACTAGATTTAAAAAGTTAGCTTTTCTATCCTTATACTTGTATAAATTATTAGTTTGCAAAATTTAATAAAATTATTATAGGGTTCGAATTCGAAATTGCAAACTCCGAATTCGGGTTTAGAAAGTCCGAATTCGAGGTTTATTTTTCTAAGTTCGATTGAAATTACAATTTACTAACTCGCGATATTAACAATGGGGTATATTATTGCGTATAAACGGGGTTCGGTATACTTATCGGCGGTAATCGAACTATTAAAATTAGTTATTAAAGATTACTAGGTAATAGAGTGCTTAGAGTAGTATATATAGTTAGTTTATTAGAATTGCGTCGGTCGCGTTAATTGCGGGGTATAGGGTCTTCTTTATTTAGACTTTTAAAATTAAAAAAGTTATTATTATATTTAATAATTTCTCTAATTAATGAATTTAATAGTTAATATTATAGTAGATTTAGTGATAAGGGCGTTGGAGAGTTTAATACTAGAGTCGGGGTTAGTAACGGTAATATTAGTAGCGCCGTATTAATTAGAATATTTGGCGGAGGTACCGTAATTGCTTAAATAATTAAAGTGATTGGAGCGGTTATAGTAGCCGGCGCGGTTATAGTAATTAGTACGACTAGAGTAGTTAAGGGTATTAGTATAATCTTTAGCGATAGTGGTAGTATAATCGTTATCTCCTACGTCTTTTTAATTTCTTCTTATTATTAGAGTAATTTGATTATTTTCTATAAATATAATTATAGTATTATACTATCCACCTTTACCCAAATTTAATAGCCGCTATTCGTTACTTTATTAATTTTATTAACTATCTAGTTTAAAAAGATAATGTAATATTTAATAATATTATTATTACTACTATAAATTAAATTCTTATAATTAACCGCATCTTCTTTAAAGAAAGTTACTGCGCTAGCTCTAATAATCTTACTAGTATAAAGATTCTAAATAAATACAATACGACCGTAAATATTATTAAAACCGATAAAATAGCCTTTCTATACTCTAGTGCGAAATTTATCGTCTTATAATTGCTTTTTTAGTTTAATAAAGTAGTAAGCCGTATAGAAGTAAGACTTTAAGTATTTGAGATATAGCTTCTTAATTTCGTTTAGGAAATTAGCCGCCTCGGCGAACAGTTCCTATAGATTCTTACCTCTATTATTGGCTTTAGAAGGGAGTAAATTGAGTATTTTAATAATATAATTAATAATAAAAGGCTATAAATACTCTAGAATATTAAAGTCTATTATTAAAGCTCTAGTACGTTGTATAATAATAGCGCTAGCTCTCTCGATCTTTCCTTACATTTATAAAGTATAGGGTATTGACTTTAGAAGCTCAATACCTTCTGTACGTACCTAATCGACGATTTTATTATATTGAAATTCTTTAATATTAAAGCTAAATTCTAAACCGCTATCAAGGCTAAATACTCTAATTTTTAATCCGTTTTAAAACTTAGCCTATTTCTTAAATTCTTTAATTTAAATAAAAGCATTACCCTTATTAACTATAAACCTTACCTAATAAAAACCGGTAATTTAATTAATAAAATAAATTATATACTTGTAGCCTTTATAACCGGAGAGAGTATAGGAGACGACGTCGATATAGATATATGCTAATAATTAAATTGTAACTTTATTGGCGATTTTGGGGATTACAACGTAAGCCTTAGCTTTGATATATACCTTATAGAAGTGGTTTTGGATATTACTTAACTTAATACCGGCTATTTCGTAAACTTTAAAAACCTAGTCTTTACCTACGTATATAAGGCGACAATATATTATTAAGTAATTAATTAAAGCTATTATAGCGTAGCGAATATCTTGGGGAAAGTCTAGTTAGGTAAATACTAGAAGGATTAGAAGGCTATTAATCTATTTGTATTATATTATAACTTTATTATATATAGATATCTAGTTGGATTTTATATCCTAGACTATACCGTTATTGAAAAGACCTCTTATAATTAATAGATTTACTAGTATAGAAGGATTGTAAATACAATCTTTAATTCTAACCTTAATAGTAATATTGTTTAGAGTAGCTATAGTTAATTTAATAGTACTAATATAGTAAGCGTAAATCGAGGTTCTATTACCGATTGTATAAATAGTTGGATATAATAATAATTGTATATCTATAAACTATTTAAAGTAATTAAAGATATTGTTTATATAATTAGAATCGTAATAACTAGATTACGAATACTATCTAATTATTAATATTACCTTAGAGCCTATTAGTCTTTAGCTGAATTATTATAGGTATATTAAAATTATAATTGGGAATAATCGATTGATTGACTATTCTAAGTACGGTTAATACATTTAATAGCGTTGGCTAGGGGCTCTAGTAAAATTTATATTACTATTTATACCCGATATATCTATAAATATTCTACTTCTATATAATAAAGTAGAATTAATAGTGGCGGGAGTAGTAAGATTGGTTGAAACGTTATTAGCGAAGGTACTAGTACTAACGTTAATTACTTACCTTCTTAATTATTATATCCTTCTTAGGTTTCTAAGTATCGGGTACCTTTTTAAGGTAATAAACCCAATAGATATCCGCCTTCTTACTAATATAATAACTATAGGAAATATACTTCTAAGTAATATAAATCTTCTTATTATAACTAGTACAATCAATTCGCTTACTATTGTCCTTCTTCTTATTAGCCGAACTACTATTATTATTATTATTCTTATTAGTATTATTAACCAACTTCTAAATATTAACGTTAATATTAGTACAGGATTTAACATTACTAATATTATTAAACTTCAATAGGAAAGTACCGATATCTAGCTCTTTAGCTTCTAAAGCGGCTGCTTAGTATTTGGTATTAATAGGGTAGGCGGCCTTTATAGCATTATAAAGGAAGGTAATCTCGAAGTTATTATCGATCTTGAATTTAGTATCCTCAATACGCTTATAGAATAGAGTATAACGAATAAGGAAAGAAATTATAGTATTAAAATTAGTACGTTTAATAATTAAGTATTCGGTAAGGACTTTACTATGAGTTTTATTAGTAATACGAGCGATATATAATTGAATGAGATTATATATAACCTTAGGGTTTCTATTGGGTTTATCCTAATTATTAATATATAAGGTAGTAATAATATTAGGGTTCTTAAAAGTAGAGAGGAGAATCTTATTAGTGTTAGTACGTTTAGTCTATTAAATATTATATTTTTTAGGCTTTATTACTTTATTGGGCTCCGGGATTATTTTAAAGACGTATTTAGCGAATTGAAAGTAATTAAATTTAGCTATAAGTCTTTAATATTAATTAGCGATATTCTAATCGCTAAGGAGGGGGACTAGCGACGAACTAATAATTATAATTAGTATAGGTAGATTTAATATATTAAGAAAGAAATAAGTAATAGTTATTAAACTATTAATAAAATTAATATAATTATATAGTAAAATAAATAGAAAATAGAAATAACCTTTAAGGGTAACGAAATTAAGGCCGAATTTATAAGGGATATTATAAATAAAAAGATACAGCTCCTTATAAATAAGTAGGGCGAATTATTGAGGATACCGGCGGCGAGATATATTTTTGCTAAATATAGGTAGATCGGAGAGGTATATAAAACCGGCCCTTTATTAACCTAATTAACGATTTTACTCCTTTACCTTTCTATATTAAAGAGATTTATAAGCGGGACCGGTCCCCCTTATAATCCGAATCGCCCTCTCTATAGGTATCGAAGCGGACTAAAACGAGCGATTAAAATTAGGGTAGCGCGCTTACTATTAATAAATATTAAAGTGCCGGTAGCGCGTCCAGTAACGATTTAACCAATAAGCCCGATATTACTGAATTTATATATATCGTTTATAATTATATATAGTAAATACTCTATATCTACTTTACTATAAAATTGCCATATACCTTTTAATTTAAAGATATTAAAACGTTACTCAATAATTTATAATTATAAACCCTTAGATATAGTATTAAAAGGGAATGTGCTACTTATTAACCCCCGTCGTACGCGCCTTTCAATTACGAGGCTTGTAAAATAATTTAGTATTTTAATATATAAGACGATAATTTAAAAGTATAGAAGCTAATTAGTAATAAGGTATATACTAGTAATATATATTAGATATTAGACTAAATTAAGGACTTTGTATACGAATATACAACGGACGTCGAAGAATTTCTTAGTAGCTAGTAAATATAGATTTTATTCTAAGTAGAATAAGGTTTAACTCTTATACAAATAAAATATAATATTTTCGGCCTCCTATAATTCTAATAGGAATAAAATCGTAGGGTCTTAATTTTATTTCCACTTTACTTTAATTTACCCGAAGCGGAAAACCCTAAATCGTAATAAACGTTATTTAATAGACAATTAATATTTAGAAAATAGTAATTATTTTTCAAATATTAATTATCTTCCAAATATTAATTATCTTCTAAACCCCTAGAATTCAAAAGTATAAAACTTAATATAGGGTATAACCTTTTATATTCTAATAGCCTTAATAGTAACCTTTTAAAGTAAAGGGCGGTATTTAAATTTAAAGGTCTTCTAAAATAGATTTAAAAAGTTAGTTACGAATAGGAATCGAATAAAGGTTACGAATAAGAATAAAAATATAAGAATTATTTTATTAATTACTTAGCTACTAAGCTAATTAGTTATTTCTAGAAGAATACTTGGTTCTTTCTGTTAATAAAGGTCGTAAAAGAAGGTAAGACTTTGAAACTTTAAGAAATTTCGAAATTTAGACCCGACCCGGCTCTAAAACTAAGGATACTATATTATAGCGCTTACCTCCTATAAGAAATATATATTGTTTTTTAAATATTAATTATAGTTATTGTTTAATAATTATAATGTATATTTAGAAATAGATTTTCCTACTACGGCCTGCTTTTCCTATATAATATAGTAATTAGGACGGGTTTAGAGTTTATAGGGATTTTAAGGACTATAGAGGTAGTATTGGGTATTATTATAATATCTAATATATATAGGGATATAATAAGGCCTTTATTCGTAAATAATATTTCTCTTATAAGAATAGAATTATATTATACATAGTAAGATACTAGTGGCCTGGAGTTAATATTTAAGAGGTTTTGGGGCCCGATATTAGGATAGATTTTTAGGGTACTTATAGTATTATATATTGGAATATATAGTTCAATATTTGTAATACCTAGGTACTACCTTCCTATAACCGCTTTAATAATTATTATTAATTATAAGATAAATTAAATTCCTCCTAATTCGGATACGGAGACTATCCTTAACTTCTCCTAATAATATAAAGAGTTTCTAAATATAAGGTTAGTCCTATCCGTCTACGTTACGCTTAATAATATTTAATTTAGTATTGCTTCTTTTATTTATAAATTATCCGATTTATAATACTATATTACTAAAGAGTTATATAGTTAATTAGAATTATAAGAAAGTTTTTTATCGTCCTATTCCTAATTTTTTTAAGGATTATAAATAAATATATTAAGTACCTACCTATATAATAATTTGAAGAAGATATTTCCAATTTATTTATTAATATACTTAATATTCGGCGAATTTATAATATATTATAAAATTTAATAAGAAAATATAATCCTAGGAGGTAAATTAATATAAATTAAATTTATAATAATTCTCGGTAGTATTATATATAATTATATAGGGAAATAGCTTATTACCGTCCTAATATTAATAAGTAACCCGCTTATTTTTAATAGTTAAATATTTTTAATACATGCCTAATTAATATCTATAATCTCTAATTAATTATTAATAATTTTTAAATATTAAACTTAATTAACTGTTAAACCTATAGTAAATTAAGGTTTATATAGGCGGAGGCGCTAGTAGGCTTGCTCCTTCCTTCAATTCTCGCCTATCGCCCGCCTAAGTCCAAAACTACTAAATTTTATTACTTTATATCTCGGCCGTCGTCGCCGTTATTATCGCTACTATTAAGTAATTAAATCTATAATATAAATAATAATATTAATTTGGGAATCGAGATAAAGATAAGCGAAATTTTACCTGGGAGTATAATAAGTAATAGCGATAATAATAGCGATAGCGATAGCGATAGCGACGGCCTTAGAATATTATAGTAGTAATAATTATAAGAAGAAAGTTAGAAAACGCTGAATATTTTAATTTTTATTTATTAATTCCTCCTTCTCTTACTTTCTCTCTCTTTCCTTTTTATCTTCCTACCTTCCTTCTTTTTTATCTTCCTACCTTCCTTCTAAAATTCTAAATTTATTTAAAGTTTTCTAGTTTAATAGTTAAGGATTCTTAATATTTAGAATATTTTAATATTTAAGAGGTTGGTTAGCGGTTAAGGGGGTTGTACTATAGTTATTTTATATTAACTGCGCGAAACGTCCCTATATAATTATTAATAAAGGAGTTTTATATATTAGAAAAAATTATAAATACCTTTAGGGTTAATGTAAAGGGTATTTCCTTCTTCTTTTATCGATAGTTGCGAAAGTTTACCGGATTATAATTATAAGTTTAGGACTGTTATTATAAATTAGTAATTCCCTTAGATTAGTATTAATTATTATTAACCCCCTCCGAAGTTGAGGTAAGTTATAGTAAGAGAAGTTTACTACTTTCTATTAAATAAAATAATTATAGTTAGTAAATTTATAAATGAAATTCTAAAAGGAATTATCGAACTAAGGGTATAAAATGCCGAATATTTATTCGATAATAAAGAGGCGAGGCTTAATTTTCTCAATTAAGTAGGTATAGGAGAAGAGAATTATAAAATTCTTTTTATTATTTTAGTTAGGTTGTATATAGGCCGGAGACTATATTTAATAAGGAGGCGATAGGTGTAAAATATCGATGTAATATTGAATTTCTTTATTGATAATGAAGTTATGTATGTCGATGTTGTAAATGGTGGTATTTTGACCCTGGAAATTAGCGTTGAGAGTCGCTATTGTGTGTTCCTAATTGTGGATATAAAATTCGAATGGATTCTAATATCCGTTATTCCTCGTAAAGTACTACTAATGTAGGTAGTTATAGCGGGATATTAAAAGGCCTATAAGTTTATTTTATTCTCCTAGCTAGAAGTGTAGCTCCTATATCTCGGCTATTTTAAATTGTGGAGGAGATTTAACTCTATATAGTAAAGTTAAGGTTTGAGCGGGGGATATAATATTTATAAGTTAATTAGGAAGAAGGTTAGATAGTTGCTTATTCTAAATATAGGTAGGGGAGTGGTAGAATAATTATAGTGCTCTTCTAAGGAGGGAGGCCCTTGGAATATAAGGGTAAATCGTCCTTTATAGGAAGTCTAACCTTTTAATCCTATATTTTAAACCTTCTCGTCTAAAGTGGAGATGGATATTTAATATCCTCGAATATTAGTAGTTATTTCTTGTTTAATATAAGGCAGTTCCTCTAATATTTAAAGATCTTTTTAAAAGTCTTCGAATCTCTTTAATTAATTTCGTACTAATTCGCTTCTCGGATTTTGGAAGACTAGAAATAATTTAATCTATATAATCTTTAGGAGTAGATCCCTTGTAGGGAAAATAGCTAGTTATATATTTAGCGGCAATTAAAATTGTGGAGTTTGAAAGAGGATGAGGATAGTTATTCGTAGAAAGTATTATTCGAAGGGCTTTGGGTTTGCGAAATATAGTAGTGGTGATAGCCCTCTGGTATTGGAGGAGAGTTTGACGCGTTTTGCTGTATCGGGTTTAAATATTAAGGTTATAGTGTTCCTTTGTAAAGTTGGGGTTAGTTTAGAAGTAGAGGTATTGTATGTCCGCTGTAGTTTAAAGTTTCTAGTTTAGATATTTAATGTGGGTTGTATAGAGCGGTTGGGTATTCGGTCTTAGTTTTAAGTTCGCCTTCGCCTTAGATTAAGCTCCTGTTTGTATAAGGTAGTATAGTACGGCGTATTTTTTAGTTGATAAAATTAGATGATGTTAAAACTCTTTAAGTTAAAGCTACGGCTACTTTTAATCTTAGTAGTATATACTCTTTAAATAAGGCTAAATTACTTATAATTATCCGTATCCGTTGGTTTCTATTTCGTGTCTGTATTTGAATTATTAT